GTTGGAACCGAAAGGGTTTGAATTCAAACCCTTCGGTTCCAACTATGAGTGTGTGTATATAAATATTGCTACATAACAGCCCAAGGACTGTAAAACAACGAAAAGAACACCATATCCGAGATGGTGCGCATACCTTTTGGAGAGACGCGAGTTGGGGTTTCTTGAGGATGCGGTGCCTTTCTGCCAGGTATTCAGTCACAAATGTGCGCTGTGTATCCAAATCTACGAAACGCATGGATGTGGATGTGAGTGAGACAAAGCGGGGTGTAGTGACAAAGATGTATGCGTGTTTGCATATGTATATGATGCTACATGTATGCATCTATAGGTAATTGTATTCTCAACAAACCACTCATCCTTATAATTGACCATCTACATAGCCATTGCCATTCCACTATGTAGCTACAGCGAACACAAACTCGCGGAAGTGAGAGAGGAGGCGAGTGTGCTTGTAATGTGAGCGATGCGACTGAAATAGAAGACGACCATGAGAGTATGTGAGTACTGGGATGACTGAGCGTGACTTTAAACAAGGGAAGTAACATATTATTGCGTACGATCGATGTATTTGTGCCCAGCAACCTGTTCACAATCCGCGATAGGCACAGTCTATTGCTATCCTTAACTCAACCAAATAGATATCAAGCAAAGTCGCACAAATTCAGAGCTACGCGCAAAATAAACGCAAATATCTCGCAATGTGGATGCAGGTTGTCGCATGCAATATCGGCGCGAGACGTCAGCACCCGCCACACTAGTGCAGACATTGCTCGGTCACGAGTTCATCATGTCCAGAAAGATACACACCTACAGGTAGACGTTATATATATCTATATCTATATCTATATATATAAATATATATAGATACACACACACACACATATATATATATATATATATAAATAACTACTAGGTATATGTATGTGTATGTTAAATGATATTACTTACCAGGCCACTGATCCATGCTTACAGAGTAGTACGGCCATTCCTCTACGCCCTGGTAATCGAATAGCCTGCGATGGGGGTTGCCGTATAGATACAATTCTGATAGTATGAGACTCCAATGCCGTCTAAAACTTTTGCACGCTGAGCAATACATACGTACATCGCTTAACCCTAACAATCGATTCCGAAAGAGATACATACCACTCAGCGAAATGGTTGGCGAGATCGTAACATAGGAAGTTGTAGTTCCCGTATTCGAAGTCAATCAGCTTCACCTCGTCTTGCTCGTTACACATGATGTTGCCAGCCTGGAGATCGTTGTGCGCAAACACAATAGGCGTGCGTACGTTGCTGAGGATTTCGTTCAGTAGCCAGTTGTACTCCTCTCGCAAGCCTGCGCGTGGTATAACGGTGCAGGTATGGTCTCATTGAGTGACAGGGCATGTGTGGTACGGGATGTGTAGAACAATACACACTGAAAACGATACCAACTAAAGTAATACCGAAATGATCATGCCGGGATAGATATGTAAATATAGGAAGATACATTTGACATACTATAAGAGATGCCCTGTAGATGGTGTGTAATTGAGAGGGAGCCATGCAAAACGTGCAAAAAAAGCTACACATGCACACACGCACACACACATATATATATATACGCACACACACACACATTTATATATATATATACACACACACACACATATATATATCTTCACTCTACTACGTATCCATTGTTCCGAGATGGATCGAATGCAGATCCATATGCCGCTATCTATCACATACCATAGCCAAAGAACTCCTTTAACCAATCCTGTTCCTGTTCGTTGAAGTTATGCTTCACCAACGCCATTGTGTCCCCGGCGCTCAGGATGTTTTCGTCCGACAACACCACTCCGGGTACATATTTCTGTCTGAAGGACAGGACAAGCAAGGCTGATACAGTCAATAGTTAGTATGTACTACGTATATACTCATACGTATATAACCACTAATACACACATATCCATATCCATATATATATATAGATATATAAAGACGCACACATACACGTATATATATATATATATATATATGACACACTCCACCTACAGACACTTGGTATACAAAGAAGTCGATAGATAAAACAAACACATCCACACACACTAGGTATACACATATGTCGATAAAAAAAACATACAAATAAAGGTGCATCCTCACATTTCGTTGAGCAGATCCCTATACACATCGACTACAAAAATATGGGAACTGAAAACAACTACCCTATAATACCTTTAACTCATATCCCAAACAACCCCGGCTATGCAAATGCACTGCAACCGAGGCTCAACTATCGTAACCAGTAGACCCGCACATCTCAAAACTAATATATATTACCAATTGAAGGCACCTTAATTATCGCACGGGCTATCCGCATATCCCAGCCAAAAATATATATCCAAACAACTAGCCTATAACACCCTCAGGTCTTAACACAGACACACCCGCAGATACGCACTGAACCTGCACTTGCCCTGCAGCCGCGGATTAACCATCTTAACCGGCAGATCGCACATCCCCAAAGTGCACAAAGTACTCACACGGATAACATACGCGACAAGTTCGGGCTTTGCCAGCCACTGCCGGCAATTTAACAGAATGAACAGAACAACAAGCGTCCCACCGACCAGCGAAAACACGGTGTGTCGTCCAACTACGTACTCCAATTGTGTGACAACACTTCACAAACAAACTGACCACACATACCAACACAACCGCTACCGAAACCAAACACACGCCTTCCGAACCATCGCACGGGCTACTTACGCAATGAACTCGGACTTTGCCAGCCACTGCCGGCAATTGAACAGAATCACGGGCGTCTTATCGAACGGCATGTGCATGGTGTGTAGTTGAGCCACCTGGTGGGAGATACTCGTGCTCACGGCCGGATACTTCATCTCCTCCGGCGCCAATGTGCGGAGTTCCAGCCATTCCTCGAGGCGTCCCTCACCCCAGACACCGTACAATTTGGGACCAAATCCCGATTCCGAAAGTAGCACAAAGCAGATTTCACCCAGAACACGCGAGAAAAAGAGGTCTGTGCCGTCACCGTAGATGCGAAGCAGGACCTAGGTATTTTTGTGTATGCAGAAGAGGTGCATTGTTATATATCATAGAAGATCTTGAAAGAGAAATGAATACTCAAAAGAACGTGTACACGCGTAGATCGAGGCAGGTATTATAAGTAGATTCCCGCTGCTCTTAAGACAAGGGCCAAGTTCAACTATGGACCAGTAACATGGATAGGAACATAAACTCATATACGGACTATAGATATGTTTGCACACACACACACACACACACAGATATATATATATATATATATATATATATAGACAACAACA